CCCCCCCCCCAGCCCCTCTGCCCCACTGGGAGCCCTCCAAGAGCCCTGGCCCGGGGGGACCTTCTGAGCGCTCCCTGTCCTCTGGCCAGTTCCGGCCCCAGACCGCCTTGCTGGCTCTACCCAGCCTCAGGGCCCGGCTGGATCCTGTCCCCCCGGCTGCCCCCCCCCCCCCCCCTCCCGTGTCGCTCCAGGCCCCGGTCCACTCCACCGAGCCCCAGGGGTTGCGCAGGCGCAGCAGGCACAGCCTCTTGGTCCGGAAGAGCTCGAAGAGGTGCCGGCGGAGGCGGAGGCTCTGCACCGCCGTGATGCTGTAGGCATGGCCCTGGACCAGGCCGCACGGCAGCTGGGCCTCCGGATCTGTGCCCGGCAGCGTCTGTGGAGGCCAGCAGAGAGGAGTTCAGAAGCAAGGCCACCTCCGCCTTTCCCCAGCCCTGGAGCCCGTGCGCAACACACGAGGGACCGGGCAAGCCCTTGGCCTGCTCACTCCAACCCTGGCAGGGTGGGCTGGCGGGCGTTTCCAAGCCTGCCCCGAAGAAGAAGGGAGGCTGCAGGCCAGGGAGCGTCCGCACGACCGTGCTGGCCTCGGTGTGGGGCTGCTTCTTGCCCAGCTCTGCTGCAGCTGGGCCCCCGGTCCCGGGCCCAGGGGGCTGCCTTGCCCACCGCGGCCGGGCCAGCCAGCCTGCCGCTCACCTGGATGGAGCAGCTGATGAGGGCGGAGTGGGAATGGGCTGCCCTCAGCTGCTGGAAGAGCTGCCTCTGCTTCTCGGCGTCCCCACGGAGGCCCCCCTCGCCCAGGGCCAGCGGCTCCGAGATGCCGCCCGTGAAGTCCACCAGCGCCTCAGCCGTGTTGCCACCCTCCAGAGCCTCGTAGCAGCCATTGAGCCTGCGGGAAGGGGCAGCAGACAGGGCCGGGGTCTGATCAGCTGGGCTGGGGCCTGGACTCGGCCGGGAGCCCGTGCCTCCACGAGTGCCCAGTGCTGCCAGCCAGGCCCGGTTCTGCAACAGGCGCCCCCCTCCCCAGACCCTCGAGAGGCACTGGGCCTTCCTAGCCACAGACCCACAGGCAGCGTGTGTGAACAGCACCGTGGGGGTCACGGCTGTCCAGCCAGCCTCAGGAAACGGGGCAAAGCCCCCTGGCCTCTGTCCCTTTCGGTATGGAGAAGCCGTTTGAGCTTGCCCGGGCCTGGTCCACCCTCCGCTCATCAGCCGAACTCACTTATGCCCAGAAGGCCTTTCATAAAGCAGAAGAAGCCAGATACACTTATATCCACGCCCCCACACACACACACCCACACACACTTTGGCTGCAAGAAATCTTCCCAAATCCCTTGTAAGGAGCTTTCCATGTGATCGAGGGTCCAAGAAGCCACCTGCTCAGTTGGCCGAGCCGGGAGCAGGCGAGTCCCCAGGACGGAGAAGGCCTGTGGCCTGCCAGGGATTGACTACGAGCGCGCTCTTTTTACCGGCCGGGCAGGGGCTGCAGTGAGAGGATCCCCGTTCAGCCTGTGAACGGAGACGACCAGGCTGGAGCGAAAGACTCCGAAAGTGCCTTCGGTTTGGTCTTTCTCTCCCGAATTCCTCTGCAGAGACTCTGCACGAGCGTTTCATTGGGCATGCAGGATCCCACATGGAATGGTACTGCTCTTCAATATATGCCACAAATTGGTTTGTTTGATAGGTTCTCTCTTCCGTGATTTCTTGAAGCAACTTGTGTTTTGAGAGCCACGCCGGGACAAAGTTCTGGGTGAACAGTGGCCTGTTCTGCCCAGGTCTGGGATGACCCTGGCGGGTTGCGCTTGTTCCGCGGCAAAGTCAGAGTGCTTTGGATGCTTGGAGAAGACACCCAGCACCCCTCGGGCTGAGCCCTGGCCGATGGTGCTGAAGGGCCCCCAAGCGCCTGCATACAAAGCCCCCTCCGGGGCAGAGGCATGACCCCAGGCCCGCTCCCCCCTCCCTCCCTCCCTCGCCCCCCCATACTTGGCATAGGCCTTCTCCAGGAGGGCGCTCCAGAACTCGCGGGGGTCTGCCGAGTGGCAGAAGAGGAGCCTCCCGTGCCGGCAGGGCAGGCGGTCGTCCACGCAGACCTCTGTCCAGCACCCCCAGCGCCAGAAGCGGAAGCGGAAGATGCCACAGTATCTCTGGGGCCGGCGCGGGTCCCAGTCCTGCTTCCCGGGCTGCGGGATCACCTGGATTGGGGAGAGGTGGGAAGAGCAGGGCTGAGGGGCAGGCTGTGGGGCACGGCTGCTGGGCAGGGCCGGCTGCACCTCTCCACCAGGCAGCGGCCCCCATGGCCCCAACCTGCCTGAGGCCGGCCACTGGTGGGATGGGCAGGGCAGGGCAGGAGCGCCCCCTACCTTCCTCCAGATGCGTGCAGGTTTGGTGGCCAGGCAGGAGGCGGCAGCCACGAACCAGCAGTTCCCGAGGCTGCCCTGGCGCAGGTCCCTGGGGCTGATGCCGTCCACAAAGAGCCGGGGATCTGAGCACAGCTCCTGGGGGTTTAGGCCCACACAAAGAAGTGCCCGTTTGGGGTCTGGACCTGCCCCCCAGGGGAGGCGCAAAAGTGGCACGGCCTGTGCCAGCCCGCTTGCGTCGCCAGGCCCGTGGCTGCAGCAGGTGGAGGCAGCAGCCAGCGCCCGGCAGGGACAATGGGGTGCGGCCCCAGGCCTCCCACCCAGCGTGCTTGCCACCCCTTGCATGCACACCCCCGGACACGCACAGAGCGCTTCCTCGGGACTGGGGGCTGCAGCACGGGAGGGCCAGCTGCCCTCCTCTGGCACCCCAAGAGGCCTCTGGACACGGCTCTACTTTGCTGCTTTTACCGTAGCATTTTTACGGTGTTGTTTTAGGGTGCTTTGCCTTGTGTCATGCCTGTTTTAACATAAACTGTGTGGATGCCCTGGGCTGCCAAGCAAGACGGCAGCGGTTCAAATGAAGCAGGATAACAGAGCAAGTGAATACCCCTGGCCGCTTCCAGGAGACCCCATCTGGAGGGTCTCGGTGGTGAACGAGGGAGGCATTTGTGGCCGGAAACTCCGGGTCCTGGAAGAGGCTTTGTGCTTGAAGGCAGCTCTGCTTCAGGCGGCGGTACCGCTGGCCCTGGAAGGGCTTCGGCCTGGGTGGCATGATCTGGAGGTGGGCCAGGAGCAGGGCTGGAAGCAGCCCTAGAAGTAACAGGATGGGTTGTGTCAAAAACGGGGTGGGGGCAGGCTGGCCCAGACAAACACGAGCAGCAGCCACGCGCAGAGCCCCTGGCGCGCCGGTCTCCTTGCACCGAGGAAGCAGCCGAGACTTTGGAAGGAGGTCGGGCTCCGTCCCAGGCCGCGCAAAGAGGCAGATTCAGTCTGGACAAAGCAGAGGGGCTGCTGGTCAGGAGGAACGCTGGCCCAGGGCCGGGAAGGTGACTTTCCCGGGAGCATCAGGTGTGCGCCCAGACGCTCCACGGTCACCGAGCCCCATGGTGCCCAGCAGCCCAAGGCTCACGCCTGGCTGCGTGACTTCATGGAGCACAACAGCCGAGTCGGAAGCGGCCAGGAGGCCATCAGGCCCGGCCCCTGCTGCTGTTAGAGGCAAGGAGGTCAACAGTGTTTTCCGTGGCGCCTGCACTGTAAACAACCACAACCCCAAACGTCAGCCTCATTTTGTGCTTTTCTTTCTACAGGGCAGACCGTGCCTGGGGCAGAAGACCCTGGAAATGAGTGCCACGATGGCCCGTTGGGGGCGAAGCGGCAGGCACAGCCCCTTCTGCCTGGGCTGCTAGGCGGTGGCGCAGGGCCAGCCTTCAGACGCCCACCCCCAAGACGAGAGGGTCTTAGGAACGGGCTTCTGGAGGATCCCACGGCCACCCGGAGGATGCCACGAGCCCACAGGATATGCCCCACATGACCTCCACTGCCAGAACCTGGAGCCTGTCGTGATGCAGACTGGAAACTGCGAGTGGGCCGATCCAGTCAAATACTGGGCTTCTGGGGGGACGAGAGAGAGTTCCCTGCATGGGACGGGAAAATGACCCGACAAGAACAGGGTCTGTTTTAGTTCCCAGTGCATAATTCTTTTGCGTTAGCATACTGCCTCTTTGGTTTAAAAACGCTGATTGTACTATTTCTAATTGAACATAAAACATTCGATGTTCAAGGATTCAGAAATCTTGGCTATTCTTTATGCAAAAATGGGGGGGGGGGTTAATGTCCATGCAAAGAAACATCCCCTTGAGTTCTTTGTGGAGCCTGGTATTCTGGAATTTTAAGCATACACTGCCATGATGGCCAAAAACACAAATTCCATAGTATTTGAAGACATTTGGGTTCTGCCAATTTATCTGAGTTGACATTTGTTCTTTTTTCAGGGTCCAGGATGAAGGTCAGTTGGTGTCTGCAATGCATCATCCCTGCACTGCCGGATACAGCGGGTCCTCAGAGTCTCCCAGCTCAAATTAGGGCACAGCCCAGGGACAAGGCCTGTGCCAAGGGGCTTTCCGCTGGATCGCCCCCGGCGAGCCTGGCCTCCCCGCTTCAGGAAAGGCACCGAGAAAGCAGCATCGAATAGAACAACTTTAACTGGGGCCGATTGTTGTTTATAACCTTTAATGTTGTTCTTTTTGTTTTTGATCTGTCGCACGTCCCCTTCCCGGTTTCAGTCTTTGTCTTGTATATATAAAAGCAGTCAAAAATGCACTCAAGCATTTTATGCAACTGCATGAAATATTACGAATTCCTTTATGGAAGAGAGGGAGATCGGCCAGGCCGGGCGCCGGCAAACGGCGAGGCAAATCCTCCCAGCGCCCGCCCGGAAAGCGACGGGGCGCTGGAGCCCCCGTGCCGTCCCGGGTCCCCCGACCCGCCGCGCCGCGCCGCCGGAGTGTGAGCTCAGGCGCGCCTCACAAT